GATTTAACCGGTAAAAGTTCCTTCAAAATAAGAGTCCCGATCTTATTACTATCAAAATAAAAGTGAAAAACGAAAACTTTACCATAGGAAAAATATTGGCATATAAATATAATCACTTCTCTAAAAGGTAACTCATTTTAAATATAGTTAGACACATTAAAGGTCATTTACAATAATAATATTAATATTAGTAATAAGCTTTATATTTGTATAGCACCTATTACAAGAATTGTAGCCAAACTCGCTTCACAGCAGTTCAATTTACAGATTAGTATAACATGACAGGATAAAAGCAATGTAGATAAGCAGCTACATTTCAACACATATATCCACGAAGGTTAATACATGAAGACTTGTGACCCGGACTTGACTTGGACTCTTCTTAGGTGACTTGGACTCGGACTCGAACACAGGTAATGATGACTCGGACTCGGACTTGACTTGGACTCTTCTTAGGTGACTCGGACTTGGACTCGGACTCGGACTCGAACAAAGGTAATGATGACTCGGACTCGACTCGGACACTCCTTGGGTGACTCGGACTTGGACTCGGACTCGACTACGACTCGTGAATTGGTGACTTGACTACAACACTGGATTAGACGACGAACTGGTGAATACTGGATGAAGAAACCGGGTATATATGCAGGTGTAGGTGAGTAGTTGTAATCAGAGAGATGAGCAGCAGCTGAGGAGGTGAGTTGGCGGGAATCGGAATTAGATCAGCCAAGCCCAGCCAGGAAGACAGACAGACAAAAACAAACACAGATGGGGAAAAGAAGGAGGCAGACTGTAGATCCTTACACTATCTCTTGGACATGTCTGGCTCCTTCTCATTGTCTGTGCTTGCTGGGGCAACACAGGACTGGTGAAAAGAGGGGGGCTGTGGGTCGGTAAGCTCTATCTGACCCCCTGGGACATAATATACTTACGTTTTCCCATGCTCCTTAGGGACCTGGGAAACGTGGTGCTCAGTGTGTAGTCAGGGGCAGTGTGTTGGGTCGATGTGTGGGGCGACAGGGCGTTTATTCATCGGGGCTCCACCCACTGTACCCATAGAGTCCAGTAGAGGGCGGAGCCTGTGTGAGATAGAACGGGGGGTTACATATTGTAACCCTAGTTCTATAAGCGCAGGCGAACCCCTCTACTTAGGGGCCCTATTCCACTCGTTGAAGAGGGTGTAGGATGACAGTCAGGAGGTGTAGCTGCCTTATATACTGTGAGCCTGCGCGTGCATTCAGGTAGGCTCGCCCTGATTGGCCGGCTACGTTTATACAACTTCAGTGTGTGAACGCTCGCCTATCATTGATGAGAGTAGTAGGCCTACCCATAGAGTCCAGTAGAGGGCTCCACCTGTGCTAGGGTTACAATACGGAAACCTTCGTTTTTTCTTCTGACTTAAATCTATTTATTTTCAGTGCTGACAGCCTGACAGAAGCCTATTTTGCTGACACTGGCTACACACAGTGGTGTGTTTTATGATATATGAGTTATGATGATTAATGGCTGTACGTGTGCCCACCGCAGCACACGATCTGTCCCGCTGGGTGTGTATCCTCTCTACAGCCACTTCACATTAAAAGCTTCCTGAAGAGCTGGAACGAGTGGAAACAATCCATCAAATATATTTCCCCTCCGGACAAGTGCATACAACACAACTTACATTGTATTTTTGGATCGGCAGCAAAGGAAAAGTGGATAACGCCGAAATGCAAAAGCAGCATGTCTAATTTAAGTAGAGTGCACATATAACATGAGCTTTAGAGGCTTGGAAAACAAACATGGCATTAATGTGCAGTGAGAGCACACACCACTTCCTCAGGAAACATCAAACATGAATGTGTCCCGAGAAACAGGAAAGACCAAAAACAGCGCGATTACTTTAACCAACACATTTAAAAAAGTATAAAAATGCAAGAAAATAATACGGAAGTAATGTTTGTAAAGAGAAGCCTGGATAACATCAAACAAATATGAATCAATATTTACAAAGAAAAAGGAAGAAGGAGAACAACATGGTTTTTTAATGCTAATTATTTATAAGGCGTCCACTGTTGATAACCTGATTATTACGTTTAGATTACAAGATTAGTTATTTGGTCTATACAATGGGAGAAAATTGAGAAATCACTGTTCACCTCAAATTATTGTAAACCGGAATATATTCTGATTTAAGAATCATGGATCAGAAATATTACTTTTTTTTAACCTAGAAATCTATAATCCAAATGTATGGTAATTAATGTAATAGTTATCATTATTTTATTATTTTTATCGTTGCCCTTACCTGGTTTCTCCGCCCATCCCCTCACCTGCTTCTCATTCCCTCATTAGCCCCACAGCATACACCACTTTATTCCCTGCCAGATTGTATTCTGTACACTGCCAAGAGCTCCAGTCTTCTTCTCGTATTTTGCCCATGTACTGTATCTGCTCCTCCTGTGTTCTGCCTGCCCCAACTGGAGTTGTTTGCCTGGGTAGCCTGAGTTTGACCCTGCTTGTGCAAGACTGTACATGATGAATATTTGAAAACAACATTTCTGGACTCAAGAATCTTGGGAAAGTTTTCTTGTATCGGTGGTCTTGGAGTTCAGATCTTCCTTTTTGTGTCTTGTGAAGATTCAAAGCGTTTGCACATTGGGGCAGATTGTTGAAGGTGCTGTACTCCATTAGGGTTAATAAATGCATTAGAATGCAATGATGTGCCATACAGCTGCATGCCAGTGTTCCCCCTAAGGAATGTAATAGTAGGTTGCCTCTCTTATATGCTGTCTATGTTGCATTCCTATAATATCCACATTCTTGAATCCTTTCCAACATTTGCCTTTTTTATGTGTTCCCTCCCGCAACAGCTATACAGTACAAAGGAGCTGAATAACTTAAAGGGGACCTATCATGCAAAATGCACTTTGTGATGTCTTTTATACATAAATATGTGTCCCCGGTGCGTCAGGGAACTCACGCTGCGTCAGAAAATAAAACCCTCTCTCTTTTCCTCCGTACCCAAATCTTTTAAAAACAGGGGTACAACGAGCGGATACAGATTTTCTGCCGATTTGACGTGAAATCGGCAGCGGACCCACAGAAAGTTGCAATCACAAACAATGCCTGACGTGTTTTGGGCGTAATCTCGTCTTTGTTTACATTAGCAAGCCTCGCTAACACTCAGAGCTAACCTGTACTGTAGAGCACATGTGTTTAAAAAGCAGGAAATAAAAAAAAGAACTCACCTTGTGATAAACCTGCAAGAGAAAAAGCATTTGAGCTCCATACTATTTCAGAAATAATCTTTGACAGGATGGCGTTTTATCACAGCAGAATTTAACTTTATCTCCGGTAGAATTCTGATCAGGCATTAGCTTCGCCTCCTCTTTTT